TACTCACTTTAGGCATTGTAAGGTCATTGTAGATAATCTGCTTAAACATTTGCCATGTTTAAAAGTTTTACAAATATGCTGCACAGTAAATAGCTTTTCTGCCGTAACTTTCACGCCACACAACTTACAATAAAATATCTTCCCATCGGTACTAAACACTTTATCACCAAACTCCTGTACAAAACTACGCAGCCTTGCGCTCCTTGAACTACATGTACTCACTTTAGGCATTGTAAGGTCATTGTAGATAATCTGCTTAAACATTTGCCATGTTTAAAAGTTTTACAAATATGCTGCACAGTAAATAGCTTTTCTGCCGTAACTTTCACGCCACACAACTTACAATAAAATATCTTCCCATCGGTACTAAACACTTTATCACCAAACTCCTGTACAAAACTACGCAGCCTTGCGNTATCATCTGGGACTGGTACAATAGGCCAGAAGTGGCCGCAGTACAAGGGACTTAGTCCCACTCCACTAGCAATAAAAAAATATTATACTTGCTTGAAAACACTGGAGCACTGCGTTTCCTCTAGGTATGTATGTATGTTCCGCAAAGTAATTACATGTAATGCCAAGTACAGGGCGAATTTCGTGTTGATACTTGAACTGATTGAACAATATCGATATTGGTGGACGTTTCAGGCTTGTCCCTTGAACGTAAATTGAACTCATCGTGTCAGAGACCTAAGAACATTTTAGCAACAGCCAAGATAGAATTGCCTCTGTCCTTATTTAATCATCACTCCATGAAAACGTAATGGGGAATAGAGGTAATGCCCCATGCATACTTAATCTCTTGTACAAGATGGAAATGAATGGTCAAATTCACGTCCTGGCCGAGAAATCACAGGGGGAAATATTTTCCGATACCCATTGAAAAGCAGGATGGACGACCCCCGGAGTTGATTCGAACAACGAGACGAAAATTTTTTACCTTGTCTGGAATCGATTCCTAATTCCTGGCCTTCTAGCTGGTACATTTTTTTTTAATTCGCTTAGTGGGGGGTGGAGTCCAGCTGGGTCCACCCGGCGGGGCGGCCACTGCTTGGCCTATTGTAACCTGCCCAGGTGAGTATGATGATGGAGAATTTGTTGGAATGAAAATTGGCAGGGGAAACCGAAGTACTCGGAGAAAACCCGCCCCAGCGCCACTTTGTCCACCACAAATCCCACTTGACCAGAACTGGGATCGAACCCGGTCTGCCGTGGTGGGAAGCCAGTGACTAATCGCTTGAGCTATGGCGCGGCCTTAGCCCGTACTTTAGTTATAGTTCAGCCGACCAATGAATTTTCACGGGCGGTGGGGATATCACTTGCTAGGAGGGGAGGGCTATTCCCCACTCTGCCATTGTAGGCAACTGGCACGGCTTGCCTAAATCCATCCGAAACAAGTAGAAGAGTGTAGGTCTGTTAAGGGGAGCGCAGGAGGGAAGGCTATACGGAGTGGAAGTCAATCATGAGATTTCTTTCTCGCCTTCACTATAACTATTCGAATTGAGTTAACAGTTATTGAACAGAAATTGTGAAGAAATTTCACCATGGGTGTAAAATCAAATCATGCAATTCATGCGGCCCTAATAGTTAAGACAAGAGATATGGGGCGATCTTAAAATTTCGCCTCTATGTATCAAAAGGAGCCAAGATTTTCTGCACGTTTTGGCAGATTCTTACGTCGTACAGGACAAGAAATTGCCTAAATCTTCGCTTGTTCACAAGAGGCCGCCACAGAAACTAATGCATAGAGAGTGAATCTGTTCCACACTTCCTCTCTGTGGTGCCTCAACATTCATTCTATTTTCATCCTTCCGTTTATTCTTACGTGTTCCTAGTGGTGTCTTCACTTCAGACTATCCGACAAATATGTTGTATTCATATCTATCCATTCCTGCTACATGTCTAGCATTCTCATTATCCTTCGCTTCACTGCCCAAGTAATACTCGATGAAGAGTAAAAATTATAAAGCTCTTCATTATACTTGAGCTTACATTACAGTAAATCGGATATTAAAGAAACTAGTTTCGGATAAATGTGACCAAATATGTTAATTTTATTATCAACTTAACAAAAAGTCGCTATAATGTAACAAGTAATCCTAACAGAAATCATGAAATCTTTTTGTCTCATTGACGACAGAGAAGCAGTTTTCTCCTATGTACGAGTATGTACACATTTATTTAATTATTCTTGCATATTCGAAAAAGACTTATGTAACTCAGCGTCGAACGATCAGACAATATTGAATAATTAATTTGGAAGGACGTAGAACGATGCTGCCTTAGCCTGATTTAAGTTACTGCCCCTGGAATTTACTTATGAAAACCGCGAAAATCATCTGGATAGTCGGTGCCCCCGCTTAGCTTCGAACCGGCTACCACAGGGTGGAAATCAGAGAGGGTACACCTGGAACCAAATTGTAGGGTCTGTGTTCTGACACAGATGTCTCATACTGTTACTAATTTCCAACTCGTTAAAGCTAAATCTGCTTTAATCCATCAGAATAGGTAATCTTAATTGATTACAAGAGTTACTACTTGTCTGCCCATAAAATGTTGAATTAATTTTTCATTATTTATGAAGGGAAATTATTACCAGTTACAACCACTGGAAAATGTAGTGCTATTCATACAGAATGTTTAAACTTAAATTACTTTCAGCACTTGAATATCAGATATTTCAAACAAATTACACCCGTAATTTATACAGTGACATCGTGTACACAAAGCATAGGTAGGTGAACGCATATTGCTCGAATTACGTCTTTGTGGTTTTGCGTAGGCTTACTTTATTTGTGAGACCCGTATCTTGTGCTGTGACGTGCCCAATCATAAATCAGGTTGTAATATTAACCCCTTGATCCACACATTCTTCTTATTCTTCTGCCTTGACGGATGAAGTTATCCGGCTTGAGCCCATTCAGAAATTGAAACTTACGCATATTCATACCGTAGAATGCAGTACCGTTGCTATGCAATAAGAGGATAAAAACACCCGTTTCTATGCAACGGTCATCTGCTACCAGCACTAAGGTCAATAAAACGTGCATATATATACATCCATTTCCCCATACGTCTTCATGGCGTAGGCCTAATTAGTTAAGCAGAGGGCGTTCGTTAGCTACTCATTAGTCGACCACAGTGTCCGCGGGGTCTAAGTCATGAACTGTCTTCGCTTGCTCGAACATTGGGATCGTGGGTTCGAATTCCACTTGTGGCATTGATGTCTGTGTGTGCGTTTATTCTATGTTTGCGCTATCCTGTGTGCAGGTAGCGGCCTTGCGATGGGCAGATACCCTGACCAGGAGGTCTACCGACTTTGTATGGGATCAGGAAGCTGGAAAAACGGCCAAGACCCAACAAAGGGCTGCAGAACCACAGACAGATAGTCATTCAAGTCAGGCAGTCAGATGTGGTCACGAACAGGTCACTTGTATATGGAGCTTACAATTGTAGTCCTCCCTTTGACCAGAAGCCAGAAAATCGTACTTTGAAGCTGTGTAACAAATGTATTCTAGTTTGAAATTCCATGTTGTACACTACATTACAAGTAATTTCTCCGGATAGAAAGAGTAATATTTTCCAGCTGTGCATCTGTATATGTGGGACAATGAAATATTTCGTATAAGGCAGGCAAAAGGGGATTCGATGTCAGATAGCTAAATTAAATCTGTCCATATATCACATTTACAAGAAAACAAATACCGGTCTCAGTAGCCGCTCATGTACTGTCTTCACTTGTTCGGACGTTGGGATCGTGTGTTCGAATCCAATTTAAGGCATGGATCTTTGGTGAGTGTATGGGCTTATTCTGTATTTATATTGTCCTGTGTTTAGGTAGAGGCCTTGCGGCGGGCTGATTACCCGTCCAAGGAGTCCTACCGTCTGTGAAAAATGATTACGGAACTGAATAAGAGGCCAGGACCCTGAATGGGCTGGAAGAGCCACTGGGGGAAGGAGGGACAAATGCGTCCTTCGTATATCTCTTCGTGAACTCCCTAATTAGTTACACATTATTTTGTAGAGATCAATGCAGATCATTATATCAGCCAGGAGTTTTGGAGGAACATATTGCCTCCATCCTCAAGGTGGAAGAGCAAGCGAAGTAAGAGAAGAGGAGCATTAATGAGTGATTCATGCTGTGTTTAACGGCGATATAACAGAGGCTACGGTTTTATTCTTTTAGCAAATATTAAATTATGATATATTTTCATATATTCACGAAATATATATTTCCCTGCTTTCACGAAGATCACGTAATGAATGCATATGGGGCTTGTCATGTTTGTCGACCCGTATGTTTCAGCTCGAGAACTGCTGTATAGATATTGATGAAATTTGGTACGGAAATTATGCCATCAGAAGCTACCCTATACTCGTATTTTTGGTTTTCTACAATCAGCGATATAAAAATGACTTGCGCGCGAACTTGCGAGGTGGGGTGACACTGAAACAACTTATCAGAGATTCCTGAAATTACGCAAGAAACAGACCTTAAAGAATATTCAACTTTCGATAAGATTTTCAAAATGGCGGCTTCGTAAAATCTGTGTTTCGAGTTCGGTGTGACAGCTGAAATTTATGAACTATTTGAGTTATGTATGTTACATGTGGTATGGTGAGAGGGCATTCACATGCCTGCAAGTTTTAAATTAAAACTGCTACTAAGTCAACAATTAAAAAAATGCAACAGCGCGAAACTTTGCTGTCGTCTGTTACAAATCTCACAGTCAGTTGTACAAACATTATATTCTTAGTTTTAGGTCTACTGAGTGCTTTTACTATGAGTATGGAATATATTTGTAACAGCTGAGAGGACTTGACGTGTAAAGTTACAAAGAACGTATAACTCTGTGTTCCGGTACGGTTTGCACGTTTCCAGTCGTGTTCCAAATACCAATAACGCAGTTTCCATCACACAGGTTGTTTTTCTCATGCCCCTTATGAATTCCTTCTAACCTACTGAACTCTTCACTTTACGCTATTAGCCGCTGCAGTACCTTGCAACAATGGACGTCTTGCCGACCCTGGAAGAGCCAAGGAGCACGAGCCGGTAACAGTTCTTGGGCGGCGGTTTGCAGCTGTCTTCACATGACGAGGAACTACCAGGGCTAGGACCAGGGCCTGTTTGCTGTGAGGACATGGCAGTTTCTGGCTCCTCTTCGGACACAGCCGTTCTTCTGGACGGCGCCTCTCCCACTGGCAAAGAGACGTCGTTTGGAGACGCTCGGCTGGAACCACAGAGTCGAGACACGGCGTCCCTGAAGCAGGATGTGGCCCCGTTCAGCGCCAGCTGGAGCCCCGTGCAAGGTCCGGTCGCCACAGCTCCCGACATGGGCCCCGCGGTGTCGCGGCAGCCTCCCCTGCTGTCCCGTCCATTCTCCACCGTCACCACGCCCAGGGCACTTGCTTCTGGTGGTGAGGCCTCAGTCCACGCTCCTGCCACAACAACGAAAGTCACATTCTTTACAGTCCACAAACGAATTCTGTCCACATTCCCGCGTTTTGTCTTTCATTATCCACTGTTTACCTATCGTTTACACGTTTACGTCTCCAAAATTGGCTCTTTCCTTAGAGTTTTCTGAACAAAATTCTGCACGAACATTTTATCTTTCCAGTTGGTACTCGGGCACATGGTAGCGTTGTTGGTTGAGGCACTATGCTTCGAGCCGGAAGGTAACGGGTTCGAATCCCGATGAAGTGTTTTTCTTTCAATTTACCTAAACCTTCCAGCCGCACTATGGTCCTGGGGTCGACTCAGCCTCTAACAGAAACGAGTCCCAGGAATCTTCCTTGGGGGTAAAAGGCGGCAGGGCGTAATGCTGACAAAATCACCGCTAAATGTAAGCCGATTTTCTAGAGAAAATGTGGGAGCCTCGATGTCTCAAAACCCTGTGGGCCTTCATAACCTGTTACAGGGATAGCTTAAAGGCTTGGCCGCGCCATAGCTCAAGCGGTTAGTCGCTGGCTTCCCACCGCGGCGGTCCGGGTTCGATCCCGGGTCTGGTCAAGTGGGATTTGTGGTGGACAAAGTGGTGCTGGGGCGGGTTTTCTCCGAGTACTTCGGTTTCCCTTGCCAATCTTCATTCCACCAAATTCTCCATGATCATAATCACTCGGGGCAGGCTACAATAGGCCAATCAGTGGCCGCCGTGCCGAGTGGACCCAATTGGACTCCACCCCCCACTAAGCAAATTTAATTTTTTTTCATTATATTAGGAGGTTAAGAATCATAATTCATTAATTCATGTAAGATATATCACACTATTCGCCCCCTCCTTGGCACTACATCCCGAGTGGGCCTAGGCCCACATCCATGAAATTATTATTACACTATTAATAAGCCTACTATGCAAGTATAGTGAATAAAGTCTTTAGTTAACTGCTAAGCTTCTAGGTGATTATGTATTATTTCTCGACATGTGTACAAGTAAGCAACAGAATTTGTACAATTACTGTGTCCTAGACATTCTTTTTTATTTAAAACATATAAGGTTTCGGAGGAAGATTTGCTCCATCTTCATTGGGAAACTATGAAGTCAGGTTGAATTGTTTTAAATAAAACAGGACAATGCTATAATGTTCAGAAACACAATAATTTCATTAATATACCATCATCACAAATTTTTAGATTTCATTAACAGTATTTGTGTAAAACCTCTAGGGTTTTGCCTTTTATATCTGCTTAGTTGAAAGGAGAAAATGGTGTATGAGAAAACCGCAATCAGAAAATATTTTTATTTTCATTTGAACTTTTTTTAGGAATGAATGTGAGAGCATCATCAAAAGAATTCTTCTGTACAAAGAACTTATTGAGTGCAGAAATTTAAACCGTCTTCGCGTACCAGTTTTCTTCAAAATAAAAACGAAGCTAATCCTGTAACAGGCCGGGGAGGCCCATAGGCTTGTGAAACATTGAGGTTCCCACATTATCTAGACAATCGAATCACAGATGGTGGTAAGGTTGTCAGCTTTACGCGCCGGCTGCCCTTTATCCCCAAGAATATTCCTGGTACTGAATTCTGTTAGAGGCTGAGTCGAACCCAGGGCTATAGTGCGGCTGGAAGGATTAGGTTAACTGAAAAAATACCCCCACCCAGTTTTCTCTAATTATATTAAAATACTCCCCAGAGTTAAGACACTGTCACTGAACAATTCAGTGCATAAAGAATGTATTCAGTATTCCAAGATATCTGCTTTAACTACGATGAATATTTCTTCGACAAATTTAATGACATTTTGTTGGAGAACAAAGGACTTCTTACAGAAGCAGAAAGCGTAGGCGGGTATTCTGGTCCTGTTTCCACTAGGGAGCAATGAGTAAGGAATACTTTTCTTGTACGTCATTCATTAAATACAATTTAATTTTATATCTATTGAACCTTTTAGTTGCTATGAATGAAACGTATCGCTCAGATGTCTTCCGATATAAACGCTTTTGGAATTTGACGTCATCTACAGAAAGGAAACTCCACGAAACTGGGTGGTTCTTAAGAAGCAACCAGTCGCTCGGCTACTCAAGAATGTCCCAACATTCCATGGAAACTGAAGATTCATTACCGTGTTCACCGAAGTTCGTCACGATTATATATTCTGGGCCGATGAATGCAGTTGATACCACCCCATCCTAATTCTCTAAGATCCATGTTAGTATTGTGACATGACGCCTGAAAGCAGGAATAGTGAAGTCAGAGAAGACGGCCATTACTAGGCAACGGTTTGTTGAAACTATTTTCCTCCAATACCAGCTGGAACAGTCGGTTTCTGAGCAACACTAGGTAAACACAACGTGTTAGTTACCACGTCATTATGAGCTTATACAACAGAACGCAGGCATACATAGAACTGGAAAACTTAGTGGCAGCGATCTCTATTCGGTATTCTCGAAGTTATAACAAGTAGATCAGTATGACTAGACGAAACTCAATTCCGTGTGGAGGCGGGGTCAAATACCTCTTCCGTAACCCTGCGAGTCGTTGGAGGCGTCGAAAAAGGAAGTTTCGAATCTGAGATGGTAACATATTGTTGCGAGTACCACGGGACTCAGACCTGAGAATTACTGTGCTGGCGAGAGCCAGAAGCAATTATAAACGACAGACCCGTCCTCTCGTCAAAGAGGGCGCCCCACACCAATAAACCTTCAAATGTCTGACAGTAATAAAAATCTGGTCCGAAGCCTCAGATGGGCGCTTTATTCCAAGATAGTCTGGCCGTCTGACCGCCGGTCGTAACATAGACTCAGACTCAGAAGAGAGAGTTATGCTTGACACAGTCGCAGCCGAAAAGACATGAGCCGAGGACACGAATTCGTCATGGAAAGGAGTTGTGAGGATTCAGCTGTGAATTGTTAAAGTGTTGAAGGCGTTATTCATGTGTTATAGTTATTTTTATTTCGCTTAGTGGGGGTTGGAGTCCAACTGGGTCCACTTAGCACGGCGGCCACTGACTGGCCTATTTTAGCCTGCCCCGGGTAATTATGATGATGGAGAATTCGGTGGAATGAGGATTGGCATGGGAAACCGAAGTACTGGGAGAAATCCCGCCTCAGCGCCACTTTGTCCACCACAAATCCAACTTGACCAGATCCGGGATCGAACGCGGGCCGCCACGGTGGGAAGCCAGCGACTAACCGCTCGAGCTATGGCGCGGCCATGTGTTATAGTTAAAGCAACCTTGAGAGTGTAACAATTACTTGTACTTACGGCTTGTGAGTATCCAAGAAATCGATTCACCAATTCAATCCCCGTCTACAAGTCACTAAAACAAGTGACAATATTAAGAGTTCTATCATCTGGAAAATAACGCTTTGTAGTGTGCATATTTTTTGCTTGGTTTAATTCTTTGACGCTGAAGATGGAGGCAGAATATTCATCCTAAACGTCGCTTAACTTTCAACTGGCTACACAGCAGTATGTCCCACAAGATACAATTCTTCGTAACCACCGCTGTGTCAACTTAAAATTCTAAATATTGATATTAACATAGCCACGTCTAGCTCTTCCTAGTGGCATCCTTCCTTCTGGCTTTTTCACGAAATCGTCTCTCCCGTGCTACATGCTCTAACCATCTCTTCCCCCATGACTTGATCATTCCAATAATATTTGGCGAAGAGTAAATTTAAGAAGCTCCGCATTATGCAGTTTTCTATAACCTCTTATTTTATGCATCTTGTGTCCAAATGTGAAAGAAGAGCTCTCCTGCCATACTTGTTTTATAATTTGATATTTCGAGCTGGCAGCTATGATTTTAGCAGCCCAACTGATATAAAAAATATTTTTTTTTAATAATTACTTATGAGAATATAAAAAGAAACACTGAGAGGTAAGCAGTTACAGCCTAAAATATGACGAGCAATTAAATATTGTAGCGTGTTTTGTGTGTGNTTCCTAGTGGCATCCTTCCTTCTGGCTTTTTCACGAAATCGTCTCTCCCGTGCTACATGCTCTAACCATCTCTTCCCCCATGACTTGATCATTCCAATAATATTTGGCGAAGAGTAAATTTAAGAAGCTCCGCATTATGCAGTTTTCTATAACCTCTTATTTTATGCATCTTGTGTCCAAATGTGAAAGAAGAGCTCTCCTGCCATACTTGTTTTATAATTTGATATTTCGAGCTGGCAGCTATGATTTTAGCAGCCCAACTGATATAAAAAATATTTTTTTTTAATAATTACTTATGAGAATATAAAAAGAAACACTGAGAGGTAAGCAGTTACAGCCTAAAATATGACGAGCAATTAAATATTTTATGTAATAATTTGACCGTGTTCATTATATTATTTTAAATTCTACTTGAAATTGTTTGCGTGGCAAGAGTAGACTAGCAGATTTTAAAGAAAGTCTCGAGTAGAACGTCTAAGCGTACATTCCCTACGCACGGGTTTATAATTACGCAGACTGTGTCTGTATTAAATTTGACGGATATAACCTCAAACTGGCCGCCACTGTGGTCTAATGGTCAGAGTTCCTGGCTACAGATCCAGAGGTCCCGGGTACGATTCACGGAGCTACCAGATTTTCTGGGAAGTAGTGGGTCTCGAACGGTGTTCACTCAGCCTCGTGATGATTACTGATGAGCTATTTCAAGGAAATAGCGGCTCCGATCTAGAAAACGGAGATAAACGGCCTTGGGGATTCGTTGCGCTGACCACGCAACATCTTCTATCCGCTATAGTTGGCAGTAACCTCGCCAACAAGCGGCGGTCGCTATAGTTCGCTTGCGGACTAAGGCCACGGAGTTTTATACAACCTCAAACTTTCGCATCGTCGACATGTTTGCAACTGATTACTTATAAGTATTCACAAATAATGTGCAGGCACGTTTATGATATGTTTCTGTGCCGAATCTCCCATGTCTATTTCCACTGGTTTATTAGTTATTGACCTCAAGCCATGGGCCTACCTGCAGGATATTGTCGCATGGTCGCCATATTATTA